TATATATATATACATGTACATACATACAGCAAAAACCAGTGTGCTAAAATTTCAGTGTTAAACTTTTGGGTGTTGAATTAAAAACCGCTAGTGTTATTTTAACACTTTCTGAGTAAGCTGACACCCAGTGTTGGTGTTTATTCACAGTATTTATTTCCTCTTCCACCTCATGTCAGACAGACGAGTATTTTCTCAGCAAGGAATGCTGGGTAATCGTGTAGAAAAGATGTGTTTGTATGTTTATGATTATTAAAGAAGTTCATGAGGGTAAAAATAGTTGTTCTGATTAGTTTTCTTGTTCAGTTTGATCAAGTTGTTCAAGTTTAAGTTTGTGTTATCGGCAATAAATTGACACCATAAGTGAGAGGTAGCTACTTCCTGGTGATGTGTGAAGAGTGACTCCAGTATGCTTTCTATTAACTACTGAGTAGAGTTAATGCAACACTATAAAGAGTTTAATTTGAACTCTGAGTGGTAAATTTACACTCTCAAATTGATTGTGTATTGACACCTTGTGGTGCCTGTTAACCTTTTAACACCATAATTTCCTTTGTTAGTAATAATACACTGGTGTTACTTCTAACACTATATTTTAATACTAACACTATTTTTATGTTAATGTGACACCCAGTATTGTTGAAGATTAAACACTGGTTGGTGTTAAATTGACAAAAAAAAGAGTGTTAAAATTGAACACCTTCACAAATGTTTTTTTACCACCAGCGATTGTGGACTCATTTAGACACTTTGTTGGTGTTTAAATGAACACCGTGTGTGTTAGATTTCATCTACCTCATCTTGGTTTAAACCTTTTCAAATTTAAATTCAGAACTCGCTCCCTGCCTTTCTGAGTTTGGGTTTTTTTCCACTGCTACTCTACAGAGCATGAAAAAGAAACAAAAGAAAATGAATGCAAAGGACATTGAAGGGTTAAAACTATAGGAAAATGAAAGTGTGTGACCTTACAGTTCCCATCAGGTTGCTCATGGCGATGTCGACGTACGCAGAGAGAAACGCTGCAGGCAGATGAATAAAAGAAGTTAATTACAGAACAACCTCAGCTGCTCTTTTGTTGTGCTGGTCGCAGTTAAAGAGACAATTGGGGTCAATTTACATAATGTGGGCAAATTAGCTCCATGTCAAAGTGGTCAGCACTAATGTCCATGATGCTGAAATGTGTTTCTGTATTTATGACTAAAAGCCCAGGAGAGACTGAACACGTTTATATAATCACAAATGATGAGGGGAAGAATGAGCCAGCAGGAAAATAACAAATCAAAAGATTTACAAGAAGAAAACGTAGATGAAAAAGTTGACTTGTTTTTGTTGGAATGTTTTATTCAAAGCACAAGTGTGCACATCCCCACCCTATCTAAAAGGAAATTGGGTTTTATTTCACGTTTACGGTGTTTGATTCAGCGGTCTGGTGAATTCAGCCGAAGGACGGGTTCATGATTCACTGTGGCGAGTGGAGCTGAGGCAACGTTTTAACGACCCGCAGGCTCAGAAACCGCCTGTTTAACTCACAGGAACAGAAGAACAGTTGTTTTATGTTTCCCAGAGAAACACTAAGGTTTTACAGGAGTGAAGGTGCAGCCTTGGATTGGAGACGTGTGTTCCCTTCATGGAGCCTGAATATAAAAGTGAAATTACCTGAATCCCCAATTGCACTTTGGTTTTAAAGCCGGGAAAAAGTAGAAATGACCTGCTGAGGGAAGAAAATTGAACTACAGGCCTTTAAAACCTTTCATTTTCCTGTTTGACAGTATGTGAAGGTTTCAGCACCATGGACAGAGACACGTTTCTCACAGTTTCATATGAAGTTAAATAAACTTTTAGCCAGTGGCGCCTGCAGAAAAATATTTCAGGGGGGGCCACTGAAAAACTAGGGGTGGCACACCAAAACTAATATCTATAACAAAATTTATGATGTGTTTGCAAATATGACAAATCGAAAACTATGGCAATATAAAGCTATAGATTTACCAACAGATGTTGAATTTGTAATTTCACAGATAATATCACTGATTTTATGACATTCAGAGACAAAAACAAGAGTAAGTATTTGTACAGTTGGGGGGACCCAATGGCGGGGGGTCTGGGGGTCCTCCCCAGATATTATTTAAAGAAATAAATGCCATTTCCTGCATTTTGGTGTATTTTAACAGGTTGTTAAACAGATTTTTACCTACACAGGAAAACACTTAAAGTGAGTATTCTTTAGATAAAATGAAATAAATTTATTGGTTAAGCAAGTGAAACAGCACTGGATGAACTAATGTTTTATGGTAAATGTGGGGGTTTAAATTAATTAAATTTTAAATTTGATGGGGACCGTTCCCTTCAAAAATGATTGTCATTTTACAAACTGTGATTATAAAACCCCAAAACTGGAAATAAAGACTAAAACAAGCACAATTACAAACTACATCTACTGTAATATTATCCCAAGTTATTAAGTTATTTGCTTTTTATGTCATATAATAAATATGATTTTGGTCTGTGAGAGAAAGCTGGAGTACCTGGAGAACAGACAGTTGATCCAGCTACCTTCTTCCTTAGAGGCAATATGCTGCTCTACCAACTGTGCAGCTGTACTGTCTAATTTTAAATTCATTATATAATTATTAAAATTATTTAATTAATATTTGATTAAAATATATCTATGAATATAACCCCCTGAGAACCTCCATCTTTATTTGAGAACACTGGTTTTGGATTGGTTGTCCTTATTCAGAGGTGCTACATTTTAATTTTAATTAAATTTTTTATTTTGAATAAAATATAAATTAATGTTTTTAACTCTTAATTGCTAAAAAAAAAATCAGTGTTTCTTTTTATATTTATGAGATTCTATTCCTAAATAGGTAGGGCAATTGATAAAGGAAAAACCTGGGTACTCAAGAGGATAAAACTGGGGGGCCACTAGGGTGGCCAGCTTATTTTCTGGCACCCCTGCTTTTAGCAACAGAATAGCATTAATAATTAATAACATTTCACTCTGCTGTAATTCTTACTGTGTGATGTATAGTGAATTATGCCTGCTAAGGTTTGCATCAACTTATATTAGAACAGAACAAAAAAAAAATCATTGTGCACAAGTGTTTGTATGTTTTTGTCACCGCTTGCAACAGCAAAAAGGTGCGTCTTCCAGTTGAAGGTAAAGAAAAGTCCTCCAACAGCCATGCAGCCCAGAGCTCCGTTAAACCCCGACAGACCTGAGTACAGTGATTCATGATGCACTGCCATGGAGAGCCCTGATACACACAGAGACACAAAAAGAAAAAAAATCAATGCATGAATCAGTGAGTCACTGCTGCTGGCAAATGTAAAGAATTTGTGTTTTTTGTAAAAATAATTTTAGAGCTGCAGTACTGAACCCAACCGTGTGGTGGTGCTAGACTCAAACTTTTCTGCCACTGATCTCAGCAGCCCCTAATCTGCGTGTAACCCAATAAGGAAACATTTGATCTTTATACGTCAGCACGAATAAAATGAGGACAAACGATCCATCTGCTGGAGAATTTGGTTCGTTAGCTTCTCGGAACGTGATTCATTTAAAAAATCTGTGACGTGAAAGAGTTTAAACAATGTGATGAATCACTATGGAAACTGCTTCTAATCACTCATCAGCATCCAGACTCCATCATGGAAAATATGTCAAGTTAAAAGTAAAATAAAACCAAAGGATTTACAAGATCGCAGCTCATCCGGCGTGATGCTGCTGCAGGTGAGCATCATGTCAGCTCCTCACCTCTGACTCACGCTCAGAGCAGAACACCGCCCTCCACTCAAACAATAAGCAGACTACACACCGACACAGAAAGATCTCAGCCCGGCCAGAGGCACTGACATTTTCCCTCGTGGCCTCCAGTGTCGTCTCTCAGCCGACAGATGAAAGAAAATTAAAAAAATCACTCCAACGGAGTTTGGCCACTCATCTGCAAAGGCCAGCTCATTTCACATGGAAATGAAGCTGAATGCCAGAGATGTGTCTGGAATATTTTATTATTTAAAAAGCATTTTTGAGCAGACGAGTGCTGCATGAAAGATTCTGTCTGTACTTCATGTTGACTTTAGATATGAAGACACATTAGGTTTTATTTAACCAAGCAAAGCCCACTGAGGTCACAGATTTGTTTTGCAGGCAGACTGAACCAGCTTCATTAAAAAATTACGGCTGTCTGTCTTAATGGGACCATCTAAATCCTCCACTCGTTCTGTGTATGTTTTATACACACGTGCACTGTAAGCTGCTTTGGATGGGCGTTTGTTTTGTTTTACACCATTAGTGCAAACCTTGGTTTGTGGAAACAGCTTTTTAAAACCCATAAAAGCTTTAAAACCTTGATGCTGACAATGGAGGACAGAAAGAAACAGTTTGGACATCCTTTTCAGCAGAGTTTGGAAGCTGTTCAACCAGCCCTCAGGCAGCCCTGTGATTGATTTAGTCATTATCAGGTAACCAGAGAGGAAGTTTAGCAGTCAGGTCCTGCAGCAGACGGACCACACCCCCGCTGGTGGACCACGCTGTCCCTCCTTCTGCTCTGTTTGCCTTCCTCTCCAGTCTCCTCCTGAATCCTGGCTAAATTTCCCCCCTTTTTCCATCCTTCTGTTTTATTTATTTATATATATTTTTTCACATTGCGGTTCTCATTCAGAATCTTCTTGCCTGTGTTGGATTCATTCAGACTAATGGCTGTGTGGGAAGATTTCTCCAGAGGATGCTAAAATCTTTACTGTCATTTTTACTGTCTCTGTGCAGGTCACACAATGAGATGTTGTTTTTCTAACAGAATGAGTCAGAGTGCTTTTATCATATCAGCCTTTTTCTTCTCCTCTCTGCTACATTTCTAGGAAAAACTGAATGGAGACGAGCATAATGGAAATAATATTAAAACCTGAAATAAATTTGACTCTTTGTTCAGATCTGATAAAGATCTTTTGTCAGGATCTGTGTTTTTTGTTGTTTTCTGGTAGTTTTCTTGTGTTGGTTCATTCTGCTGCTGGTTATTTTCTGCCCCTCTGTGTTTCCTCTCTGTCATTAGTTTATTTTTCCTGCCAGTTTTACTAACCTACACCTGTTTTCTGTTTCATTAAGCTCAGCTGTCTTCTGTCTCCTCATCAGCCACAGTCCATTCATCCTGTCTGTCCTCTTCCCTCTGCAGTGGATCATTGTTGTACTTTACACCGTGTCTGGTTCTCCTTCCTGCTGTTGCTGCCGTGCTATCCTTTGTTTTCTTGGTTCGAAGGACTTCACTAAGTCTTATTTGAGCTCCTTTTGTCGAACTGCATTCCTGGGTCCATATCCTCCACAAACCTTGACACCTTTGCTCTTCATTCAGTTGACGTCACCATGACTTCTCCATTTTGTTTTCAGTAGAGAAGATTTGCATAATCATTTATTTCCCAAAAGAGTCACCACATTTCATGACAAAGTTTTAGCCATTTTGGTCAAAGCCTTGTCATTATGGTGGTCTCATGCAACATTATGAGATCTCATGAGGTGAGTTATGCTCAAAGCACATCATGGGCATCACTCTCATCCACCAAATATTAGCTCAATAGCAATAAAGCTGACCAAATTAGATACTTTTGTGTTTGGAGCCCACCTTAAATGGGATTGACTTCAAACAGTATTTAGTTCTAGATGCACTTTAAATTATTATTATTATTATTATTATTATTTATTGGTGGGGTTCCAATTCAAATCTAAGGAGCCCACAATGGGACACGGGGGATTTTTTTTGCCTTTGCGTTACCTTGCAAACGTTTGTTTTGGATGAACTGGATTAAATCAGGCTTTTATCTTGAAATATCCATTTACCGTAAAAGGATGGGTCACAACAAGTTAGGGAAATTGGCATTGATATTGTTTGGCTGCACTGAGTTAAAATTTTGTCTTAGCATATTCTTATTATATTCATTTTATTATTTTTATTCTTCCATGTGTGGCTGTGTGATATATTCACTCCTAAGCAGAATTAAAGTAGGCTAATTCCCAAATAATAGTGAGTATTTGAATTTGTTAATAAACCTGAAGGCACAACAGTGATAAACGACTTTTGCAAGGGAACGCAAAAAGTACTGCACGGCAACATAACAGAAAAACAATCCCCCATGCCCCCTCTCCGCTCCAAACCAATCCATTCATGAGATTTCTTTTTTATCTTTTGGAACAGACATTTTTTGCCTGAGCAACAATATTGGTGCTTCACCTTAGATAACAAGTGATAAAAACAATAATTTTGCTTCTACTTCTCTTTTAACAACCAAGCTCCATCATATTGAAGAAATTTATAGTTACTATTGATTAGTACTGATGTTAGAAACAACACTAGAGTATTAGGGTTTCCTTTTTATAATACTTTTATAATGTTTGATCTATTATGTGTTAATTGAAATAGAGTAGCCACATGTCCGAATCATAAACAACACATAAGTGACCCGTTTTAATAACATTAGGTTGAGGTTTTTGTCTGAATGCCTGCGATTCAGCCGTAGGTCAGTAGGGGGCGAACTCAGGCATTGAAGAATCATGTAAATAAAAACATACTTCCTGACTGTGAGTCAGTGTGTGGTTTCCTGTCAGATCCGAATGGCATTAAATCCTCACTCCCAGAATTCTGGTTTTGTATGGTTTTATCTCGTCTAACAATCATATTATTTAACATTGGTGATTTTATACTGACTTCAGTCTCTGAACATGAATATTCTTACAATATGTTAAACATCTTATTGTTCCATACTTTCCTAACAGAGCACTTCACTCTCAGACTGCAGGTTTACTTGTGGTTCCTGGAGTTTCTAAAAGTAGAATGGGAGGCAGAGCTTTCAGTTATCAAGCTCCTCTCTTGTGGAACCAAATTCCAGTTTCTGTCCGTGAGGCTGACACTCTGTCTACTTTTAAGATTAGACTGAAGACTTTCCTTTTTGGTAAATCCTATAGTTAGATTTACGTAGTTTCCTGAATTATTCCTCATTTCTGCTGCAATAGACTTAGACTGCTGGAGCACAAACTGAGCGCATTTCCTCACTCTGCTGTTGTCTTTAGTCTCTCTTCTCTACATGTTTGTTGTAATTATTTCTATCATGTTTTTTCTTTATCTCTTCCAGAAGAAGGTGCACCTGGACCAGTTCTTCTGTGCTTGTCTGTGTCTCTTTCCTGTCCCTCAACCCAGCCGGTCGAGGCAGATGGCAGCCTGTCCTGAGCCTGGTTCTGCTGGAGGTTTCTTCCTGATTAGCAGGGAGTTTTTCCTCTCCACCGTTTGCTCAGGTTGGGAGGCTGTGATGAAGTGATTCAACGCAGCCTGCTGGTTTCTTTTTTGGATTATTCTTTTTATGTACAGTGCTCTGAGACAACTTATGTTGTGACTTGGCGCTATATAAATAAACTGAATTGAACTGAATTGAATTCAGATTCTCTTGCTCTTCTTCCAGCTATGAAGCCCAGGTTTTGTGAGTTTTCTTAAATGCAGGTAGCAGCAGGTAGAGAGGCCTTGGCCTATATTCAGCCCCTGATTTGCTCCTCTGGAAACCCCACATGGGAATCATACACATCGCTGTGCTGTGAGCGACAGCTCTAAATATGGCCTCAGACTCTGCTGGGCTCTCTTCAGTCTGACAGTCTGAGCCACGCTGCAGCTGTGCTAACTCGCTCATTCTGCCTCTGGCTGATTGAAAGAAAGCAGGAGGAGAGTTTTACTGAACATATAGATATCACACAACTCTAAACATCTGTCTGTGTCTGTGAGCCAAACCTCAGCTTAATTCCTTTGTAAGTACTACAAATGTGAAATTCATAAAGAGGCTAAAGCTAACGCTAACAGTTATTATTGCAGCAAAAGTTGCATATTTATAAAAATAAGATGTAAATAAAGAAAATACAGAAATATTGTGTGAATAATTACATTAATAAAATTCAGAAATTTAATTGAACTGAATGAAAGTTCAAATTTATTCAGATAATAGTTACTAAGCTGTAGGTGAACTATTGCTAATTTTGCATGTGGTTTAATGAAGATTTATGAGTATTTTTTGTGATTTACGATACTCGCAAAAACACATGCAGCGACACAAATGAGCTCATTTTTCCATTTCCTAAAATAAAACAGAACATCCAGTTCAGACAGCTGATTTTGCTGCCAATGATATAATCAACTTTTAAAGCTGAGAACAAAAAAAAAAGTGAATTTTGGGGGGAAAGTGCTAGAAATGTATAAAGCAAAATGAAACAGAACAAAATAAATAAATAAAT